GGAGTTTTGGCTTACCATGGTGACATCACCATGCGGTAAATTGGTTAATAGGCCAATAACAAAGAAAGTTACAAACCTCTCTGCCAATAACAGCTCGTTTTCAGTTTTCCCCTCCCCACTCAGACCACTCCCATGACAGTCCTAGCAAAATTCTTGCTTGTGAATTTTTGTGCTAAAACACTATTTTTGCCCATTTTAATGGAAATCAATTACATTTTAGTCATTTAGCAGACGCTCTTATCCAGAGCGACTTACAGTTAGTGAATACATATATATGTTTTATACTGGCCCCCCATGGGAATCAAACCCACAACCCTGGCATTGCAAACGCCATGCTCTATCAACTGAGCTACATCCCTGCCAGCCATTCCCGCCGCCCATGAGTCTCCCGGTCGCGGCCGGCTGCGACAGAGCCTGGATTCGAACCAGGATCTCTAGTGGCACAGTTAGCACTGCGATGCAGTGCCTTTAGACCACTGCGCCACTCAGGAGTACAGTAAGGTACTCAATTGTTACCCCGAAATGATTTGATATTGATATAAAAAAGGCTGCATTGGGCCTTTAAATAGGTGATGATAGGAGTTATTTCTGTCTGATAGTTGGTGGCTTGGATTTCGAGTTGAGAGTTATACTCACCTGCTGGGGCTTCACATAGAGTAGATGCCCTGGCTGTTCTGCCTGGAAGCCCACTCTATGAGGACACAGTGTGCTTTAATCCCACAATCTCTCATTTCTATCAGTGTTTCTTTGACACAATGGCATGCTCCAAACAATGCTATCGGAACCATGTTCCACATTTGATGAATTGTGCTATCATACCACTCTAAAATACATGTTGCTGCCCTATACTGTCAAGGTTTCCTCCAGATCAAACATTAAACAGGGTCTATAACAGGGTGCAGTGTCCATTCTTTCACACCCTATTGAATAATGTATGTTCACTGCAGCATTTACCACTGACGCCTAGGTGTTCCTTAAACAACGCTCAACCAGGCTGATTTGCACCAGAGAGCGGTGTGTGTTTGTGTGTGTGTGTGTGTTTGTGCTTTGTGCTTAACATCAAAGCTGCTGACCAGCATTAAGTCCTGAGTGTCACCGTGTGTGTTTCTTGTCTCCTGTCCACATTCATCTAAGAGGATACACGTGTGTCAACATTCAAAGGATGTTGTTGAACTCATGTCATTGTTTACCTAACAGCTCTATGACATGTTTGGCATCCACTCTGCTAGAACAAAAACAAGCCAACCGTGACTGGGTGGGTAGCACCCTCCCCCCCCCCCTCCTCTACAGGTAATGAATAACTGTCTGTCTACCTGTACCTCAGTGTCTCTGTTCCTCGGGGAGATCACATAGCTGTGTATCAGCCCCCAGGTATAACTGAAGCTCTGCTGTTTCTCCACCCACTGCACCTGTTTTCTCATAAGTGTGTGTGTGTGTGTGTGTGTGTGTGTGTGTGTGTGTGTGTGTGTGTGCGGGTGCAGTGAGTGTCTATTCGTCTTGTTCCTAGAAAGCTGGAGACTTGGCAGTGAAGGCTCCCTGTAGGTTTCATATATTAGGAGAGGGCGTTGCGCCTGGTGTTATCAGGAGGATACCTGCCCATTCACCCCCCAACCCCCACTATTCCTCTTTCAGCTCTCAGTTTAACCCCCCCCCCCCCCCCCCCCACCCCCCCCCCCCCCCCCCCCCCCCCCCCCCTCTCTCTCAACGGCAGCGCTGCCAGAACTCTCTGGTCTAATACCTCTCTTGTTGATGTGTCAGTGATAGAGACAGAACACAAAGACCAGCGATAGGGCTGTGTGTGGCTCTGAGCAGAACAAAGAGCAGCCTGTTCAACGTCAACTCCCTGTCTCCTCTGGAACTGTATGGGCCTGTTTTAGCACACTGTGATCTTTTGGGGGAGTGAGCCTATAAGTTCAACAATGACCAACAATATGTGCGTCAATGCCACAACTGAGGGTCCAGATTGACCAACCAAAAGAAAGCTTTATTAGCCTAGAATGGACATCGTTTTGAAATTTGAATTCTGTTAATTGACGGAACTGGGGATGTCACAGTTACGGCATAGGCTACCTGCTTAACAGCCTAACTGAGTAGCTGTTGCTGATAAGTCAAATGTACATAACCAGCAGTGCATTTATTTAATATATTTGAATCAGGCTCCAGGCTGTCAGTGAGATGGTGTATCTGCCTGTCTGCTAATCAAGGCTGAGCTGTCTCCATCTGTATGATTCAGCTGGCCATGCAGAGACAATGGTATCAACAACCGCAACAGGACAACTGGCCAATGAATGGCCCAGGTCATGTGTGAGTGTGCTTGTGCGCGTGTGTGCGCGTGTGTGTGTGTGTGAGTGCGTGTGCCAGGGGCTTCCAGAAGGGCCATTGTCCTTGTGGTCATTGCTGGTTTACCTTTGACTGGGACGCAGCCGCAGTGATTCTGAGAAATGTGCTGACTCATCATGGCTGCCCTGCTCACACAGGCTCTGACACCTGTTGTCTGTATAATCATCACTGTGTGCTTGTGTGTGCCTGTGTCTGTGTGAGTGTTTGTCTAAGTCCTGATAGGCCTGTATGAGGTGGTCTGTGCTGTAGTGGATGGTCATGTGTTGTCTGTAGCCTCAGTAGTGTACCAAGACCCTCTCTGTGATTCCAGCAGCCCCTGCTCTGAGGGTCAGGGTCAGAACAGGACAGAACAGCACAGCCATGTCACTCAACAGCCCATCTGGCGACTGACGCGTACATTTCATTTGATTTTGTTATAGCTTCGTGACCTCACCAAGGTGGAAAGCCAAGCCTTGCCTAATGAAATTATGCATTAGGACTGCATACTGTACACACACACACACACACACACACACACACACACACACACACACACACACACACACACACACACACACACACACACACACACACACACACATACACAAAATGGGTCTTTGTCCTCTAAAGGCTCCTGAAAGAGGATTTAGCATGCATATAAAACAGTAGGCAATAACGAAAAGACCCAATCAGCTGGGCTGAGATCAGTCTGAGGATGAGATAGAGAGCTTAGAGAGAGAGGGCTAGCAGCCAGAGGTAGGTTTAGGACCAGATTCAAACAGTACAACAATTCCACCCCTAACTCCAAAAAATACACACAATAGCAATCGTTTAGGATGCATGTTAGGTTCTATTTGATTTCTGTATGTGTGTCTGTATTGTGAATGGGTGTACGCAGTGTTTCCCCTAGATCTTAATATTTTTATTTGAATATAGGGAAAACACTGTGTTTGCACACTTATGTGCGCATGCTTGTGTTGTGTTGTGTTGTGTTATGTGGGGAACACATACCTTTCTGAGTATTCGGGTGGTGAAGGAGATAGGGTTCAAGGTGTGTCGGACAGAGCTGTTCTTTTCAGATTACAGGGGCATTTTGTCATGCATTGAATGTGTCACTCAGAGTGTTTGTAATAAAGAGAGTGCCAGGCTGGCAGCAGGTGACTGACTGAGTGACTGACTGGCGGTGAGCATGAACCTGTCCTGTCCCCCATCTGTTCTCTCTCTGTCATATTCAACCTTTCATCACTGCGTTCCATTCAAACACTACTACCAGGTGGCCAACTGTGGTCCTTGAGCGCCACAGACAGAGTGTGTAAAGTCTTATTCCAGCCCAGTGCTACATCACCTGATTTAATAATCTCTAATCGTGGTTAGCAACTAATCATGATTTAGACCACAATTATTTTAATCAGGTTTGTCACTGCTGAAACAAAACCCTGCACTAGCTAAGAAACTCCACTTGGCCATGTTATTTCTGTAGAGTACTAAGGCTAATGGCTGGCAAACTATGTTGCTGGAGTGCCACATACAGAGAGTTTGTGTAGGTACAGCCCAGCACTCTCCTGATCTAAACAACGTAAATTACGCTTATCAAACCGCTGCACTCATTGAGACTCTCCAGCTGGCCATGTGTTTCTCTACAGTATTGTTCAGAAGGCCATGTTTGTTGACTGGTTCTTTGGCTGTCCCCATAGGAGAACCCTTTATGGTTCCATGTAGAACCCTTTTTGGTTCCAGGTATAACTATTTTGGGTTCCCTCTGTAGAAAGGGTTCTACATGGAACTTAAAATGATTCTACCTAGAACCAAAAGGGTTCTACCTGGAACCAAAAGGGGTTCTTCAAAGGGAACAGCCAAAGAACCCTTTTTGGTTCTAGATAGCACCTTTTTTTCTAAGAGTGTATTGTATTGAAGGCTAGTGGGTGGTCAATGGTCATTATGCTGCTTTGTGAATGTGTCAGTGTTGCCGTGTGCTGCTCTCTCTCTCCTCTCTCTGGGCCCATTGTGAAACTGAACAGCTGATTGTGCTAACTAGCTGTGATGTGGGCCCAGCGTATCACAGCTGCATTTGTGTAGATTACATTGTGTGTGTGTGTGCTATGCGTGTTTGTGTGTTCGCGCCCTCGCACGTGTGTGTGTGTGTGTGTGATGCAGTAGACTCTTATGACTGTGCAGCTGAGGGAATATAGTTAGCATGTATAGCAGTCACCCCCAGAGCTCAGAATGTTCCTGACTTGGACTTGTTTTCCTCTCCTCAGTGCCAGTAGTCACTCTGTCTGTCTGACAGACTGCCTTCTCTTCACACTAGGAATATGTGTCTAAGGCCATTACTGTCACTCCTCAGGCTCAAAGGAAATCATGTTGCTTAGCATAGATTGGCTTAGGTTTTTATGGGTTGCTGCAGGGTAGGTGAGTTTGTATAGTGAGCCTGTGTTGCTGTGTGTTGTAGTTTTTGAGGAAGCCCCTCTCTCCAGACACCACTGTAGCGGTAAGCAGAAGGATTTAGTGATGTTTAGTGTTTAGTGACGTCATTTGAGCTCCCAGAGGATCCACCAGCAGACACAATACTTGGGTGTAATGTTTGACTGTTCATAGATTGCGTAAGTAGATTTTGATTAGTTGATTGAGACATTGATTGCTCTCTCCCTCTCTCTTTCTCTCTCTACAGGTGATCTTGGAAAATGAGTGAGGCAAGGCAGCGTTGGGCTGATGGTAGGTGGGTCTTTTCACTTATTTCTCTCTTTTGTTTGCTCCATCTCTGTGTGTCTGTGTCTTTCTCTTATCCCCTGTGGTGTTAGTAGAAGTTGCCCCCAACATCTGGCCCAGGGTCAAGTCACTGTGGCAGGTAGCTTAGTGGTTAAGAGCGTTGTGCCAGTAACCGAAAGGTCGCTGGTTCTAATCCCTGAGCCGACTAGGTGAAAAATCTGTCGATGTGCCCTTGAGCAAGGCACTTAACCCTAATTGCTCCTGTAAGTCGCTCTGGATAAGAGCGTCTGCTAAATGACTAAAATGTAAATGTAAGTCGAGGGGCAACTTCAAGCATTATCTGTTTTAGAGCATCTTCTTCCTGTGTGCTTCCTCTTGTCCGTCCCTTGTTTCCAACCCCTTAAATCCCATTTCCTCTCTTTCTGTGGTAGACTACTAGACAAGCATTATCTTTGAGCTGATTGGATGCATGCCCCGTTGTGGACTCCCATTGGTCGCCGCTGAACTTTGACCTCTCCTGTCTCACCCCAGAACCCAGAAACACACACCCTACTCTACTCTACTCCCCTATCCTACCCCCATTCCCCTGTCTATGAGAGTGCTGCACCCTCGTATGCAGCGAGGGGGTAGTGAGAGGCACCTAAGGGGGTCGGGGGGTAGAGGAGGGGCGCAGGACTCAGGCCTCAAGAGGCGTTCCTCTCACTCAGACCACCACGCCCCCTCCAAAATTACCCAGAATGCCCGGGAGAGCAAGGGCGTCCTGGGCCAGGGTCTGAAGCAGCTGTTCCAGCAGCAACGCAGACGCCTGTCCCTCGCTCGCTCTACCCTAGCCTCCTCCTCTTCCTCCTCTGCATCCTCCTCTTCCTCATCCTCGGCGATCTCAGTGGGTAGCCCCTCTCGCTACCCCCCCGAGGACTACCTCACCCCCCTCCTAGCCCCCTTCGCCTGTCCTGACTCTGACCCCCCCTCTGGTGGTCTCCTTGCCCCCCCAGCTGGTCAGAGTGCCGGCCCTGTGGGCACAATGCGGCGTGGGACCATCCTGCAGAGCCGGCACCGTGGGGGGAACGGGACAGGGGCAGGGGCAGGGGGAGGAGACCGGGACCCACCTCTGAGAGGCAGCCCTCAGGCCTCCCACCGCCACTCTACCTATGATGCACAGAAGCATTCTGACCGCTTGCGCTCCTCCTCCACCACGGACAACACCATGCCAAGTAGCCCCTCCCCTGGCTACCACCCTGGATACGCAAAGTCAGGCGATGTGGTGCTGTTGTCAGGATACCAGTCCATGGAGGAGACAGATAAGGTGAGCAATGTCAGCTGTCAATCATATTAGGGTCTTTGGTTTGTGGTCATGCTTTGTCTGGTAATGGATGTAATACAATCCTGTCCTTCTCAGGTGTTCTACATCATCCAACAGGCCTGCTCTTAAATATTGAGGAGGCTTAAAGTCAGATGAACTCGTGGATACCATTTTTGTGTCTCTGTGTCCAGTATGAAGGAAGTTAAAGGTAGTTTCGCGAGCCAATGCTAACTAGTGTTAGCGCATTGACTGGAGGTTTATGGGGATCTGCAAGAGTATGACACGTGATGCCATGTGCGTGTAATAATGTTTCTGTCCTGTAATGCTAAAGGCTCCTGAGCAGAGGCAGTGCTAATCCAGGCTCAGGTCAGAGGTACACACACACACACACACACACACACATACACACACACACACGTCTACTCAGATCAGTCAGAAACTGGTATTCCGGAGCCCCGGCTGCCCAAAGAGTGTCCTAAATACGTCTGGAGCGACGCATCTGTCTGGTATGCATTATCCTGGCAAGAAAGCCAAACACCCCTCTCAGGATGTTTGAGAATGGTATGTTCCACTGTAATTGCTGACTGTCATGCAGTCAACAGACACTGTCTCTTAGATCGGACTACTCTGCTGCGCATGGCTTCTCATATTATCAGTAATTTTTTACATGATATGAGACGTGTGAAGATGAATTATCCACTGGAGGAAGAACTAGTGCTGAATGTTCTAAATGCGTGACATTTTGTCATATCATGAAGATAAATTGGATTTTAACAGTAAAGTAGAAACCCTGTCTATCAACATAATGTATCAAGAAGAGCTCCTTGTGTTGTAGGAGCACAGAGATTTTATGAGAATTCATGTCATTTTTTGAAAATTGGAAATGCTTGACATGCTACATCACGCAAGATGTGGAGGTTATTTTTCTGCATCCATGTGTATGTGTGTTGTTCTGGGTTCAGAATGTACAGTATGTGTGCTTGACCTCTCAAGAGAGGAGATGTTTGTCCGTCTGTGGTAAGATAGGTCAGAGGACCTCTCAGGTTTTGCATTGAGAGGTCAATATGTTGGACAGCTGTACCAGACACTGCTATAACCTCACATACACGCACGCACAAACAAACAACACATTCACATGCACGCACACACACACACACACACCCACCCAGAGACACAGCCTGCTGGACAGTGTGTAACAATAAGCCACTTGTGTCTGAAAGGACAGAGCTCTTTAACAAAGGAAGGCTGACAAAGAGGAAGTGCATACAGTATTCTCCTGCTCATCTAGTGTGCTATGTTCTTTTTATACCCTCTGGTAAAGGAGCCTCTCACTACAGTAGGTGTGAACTGTGTTCATTTGTGTTCACTTGACTTTATCTAACATCTGTATTTAGTTTGGATGCCAGCCTATTTTGTCATTCAACAACACTACTACCTCTTGTTGCCAAGATAGACGTTGGCTGAAAAGGAAACAGACTGGCCCCGGTGAGAGAATATTGATTTTCAGCCTTGTTCTCCTCTGACTCAGAGTACAGTATAGCTTTACACAGGATAGCTATAGCCAAACCAGTATGTAAATGCCTGATGTTTGTCCTGACTGCCACAAGATGGCGGTGTCATATCAGATAATGGCTGTAGTCTGATGTGTGTGTGTGTGCGTGTGCGTGTGCGTGCATGTGTGTATACATAGCTATTTTAATTGAGAGAGAATAACGTTTGGACCTCCTCAAATACCATTATTTATTATTAAGTAACTGGTTCCACAGCCTTTCTTAGTTTACTCAACATTTCGATCAAAGTGTTACCTGAATTTAAACATTTTAGTTGGCCCAAACTTAGCTCCAACTTGAGAAAACTAAGGCAAGAATTCAGTCAACTTAAAATGATGTGTTTGCTCTACTTGTCTCATACAAATTGCAAGAACAGATCACTCTGGTGTCATATGTTAACAGAATGTGCAATTTAGCCTATTAAACACAAAAAGTGAGAATTAGGCACACAAAAAGTGTTTCAATTGAGAATGAGGCAGGTCTGATGCCGAAAATGAAAGGAAATGATTGCCTACTTCGACCATATTACATTTTTGCAAAAACAATAGTGTGTAGTTCCAGTGGTTACAAAAGTTATTAATTACTGAAAACACTTCAGAGATTTGAATTTGGTTCAACTACCACTAAGGTAGTGCAAAATGTAATTAAAGTACTTGTTGAATTACATGTAGTTCACTACTCCCCAACACTGTAATTGACACAGACATGGTGGCATAGAATGAAGATCGGAACACCATGAACCAAAAGGTTGTGAGTTCAAATCCCAGATGAGTACATGTTGAATAATAATTACTGTATAAATGAACATGCACAATGTGTGTCAAATATGTATGTTGAAAACATTGTATGTCAAAAGCACCATTTGTGTAACTAGTTCCACAGCCTTTTTTAGTGAAGCTGCCCAAATAATTTCTAGATGAATGAACATATCATTTTAAAATGATGGAATTTTTGCCTAAGTTTTCTCAAGTTGGAGCTAAGTTTGGGCCAAAAATGTTTTAAGTTCAGGTAAAACTTTCACCAAAAAGTTGAATAAACTAAAAAAGGCTGTGGAACTAGTTACTTAATAATAATTAGTTGAAACTAGATTTATTTTACAGTGTGTGTGTGTTAGTAATACTGTAATAGAGAGGCCAGTACTGATGAATAGGTCTATATTTCTAGCTAATATCCAACCAACATGTGTGTTACAGTACAGCAGGCTGAATAGACTCCCGTTGGCCTGGCTGTGCATTACTGTGTCATTACTGCTGGAATAGAGAGATCATTAGTCTCTTTCTCCTCACTGCATATTATGTATGTGTGATACACTCTGTTGGTAACTCGCACACATGCACAGATGCACGCACAGATGCACGCACACACACACACACACACACACACACACACACACACACACACACACACACACACACAGAGCCGTGTCTCAGCCAATGCAGCAATGTCATTCAGGTCATCTGAGCGGTCTTCGTGACAACCCTCAGGCTCAAAGTGAGCTGGCTGAAGCGACGCCCTACTGTAGTTTCCATGGTAATGGCAAGGATGACCTTGGCAGAGTCTAACCCCCCCCCCCCACCCCCCGTGGTTGGAAAGGGTCAGAGGTCATGCTGTTGAAGATATTTGAAGAGGCTTGAGCAGTGAAATGTGTGTGTGTGTGTGTGTTTGAGATTCCACGTTGCCATACCCTACCCAAATGCTACCGCTCTCGATCTCTCTATGACCCACTATCTTTCTTTTGCCTTCCTCCCCTCCTCTCTCATTTTCTGTCTCATATTCTACCCCTCCCTCTCTTGCTTCCTCATCCTCTGTCGTCTTCTTTCACCCTCTCTCTCTCTCGCTCAATTCAATTGAAAGGGCTTTATTGGCATGGGAAACATATGTTTACATTGCCAAAGCAAGTGAAATAGATAATAAACAAAAGTGAACATTACACTCACAAAGGTTTCAGAGGAATAGAGACATTTCAAATGTCATATTATGGCTAAGTACAGTGTTATAATGATGTGCAAATAGTTAAAGTACAAAGGGGAAAATAAATAAAAATAAATATGGGTTGTCTTCACTGGTTGCCCTTTTCTTGTGGCAACAGGTCACAAATATTGCTGCTGTGATGGCACACTGTGGTATTTCACACAACAGATATGGGTGTCACACCCTGATCTGTTTCACCTGTCTTTGTGCTTGTCTCCACCCCCCTCCAGGTGTCGCCCATCTTCCCAATTATCCCCTGTGTATTTATACCTCTGTTTGTCTGTTGCCAGCTCATCTTGTCTCGTCAAGCCTACCAGCGTTTTTCACGTACTCCTGTTTTGCTCTAGCCCCTGTTTTACAGTTTTTCCCAGTTTTGACCATTCTGCCTGTCCTGACCCTGATCCTGCCTGCCGTTCTGTACCTTGTGACACTGTTCTGGATTACTGACCTCTGCCTGCCCCGAACCCGAGCCTGCCTGCCGTTTCTGTACCTTTCAGACTCTGCTCTGGATTACTGACCTCTGCCTGCCCTTGACCTGTGGTTTGCCTGCCCCCTGTTTTTGTAAATAAACCTTTGCTATTTCGAACTTTCTGCATCTGGGTCTTATCCAGAGTCGTGATAGAATGAACTGGCCATGACTGACCCAGCAGACTCGGACCAGCTCCGCAACGCTGTCTCCTCCCAGGGAGCCACCATTGGAAGACACAAGGAGTTACTTCAAGGTCTTATGGAAGGATTCCATACCTTGGTGGAACGCCAGGACCGTTCCTTCAACACATTGCTGGAGCAATTCCGCAGATTGTCTGTGAGGCAGCCTGCCACTACAGTAACCCCCCAGACTGTCAATTACCCCGCTACCTGCGGCGTTTCTCCCCAATCTACCCCGGCTTCCCAAGAACCCTGCTTACCTCCTCCGGAGCGCTACACTTGAGATACCGGATCCTGCCGGGCGTTTCTCTCCCAGTGTTCTCTCATCTTTGAGCTGCAGCCCTCTTCATTTCCCTCAGATCGTTCGAGGATAGCGTACGTGATAATGCTGATGTCCAGGAGGGCTCTTGCCCAGCCAAGGCGGTATGGGAGCGACAATCTACCGTTTGTCTGAAATTGGAGGAGTTTGTGGCGGAGGTACGTAAAGTGTTTGATTCTCCGTTGTCCGGGAGAGAGGCGGCTCATAAGCTGCTCCAACTCAAATCAAATCAAATCAAATTTTATTGGTCACATGCGCCGAATACAACAGGTGCAGACATTGCAGTGAAATGCTTACTTACAGCCCTTAACCAACAGTGCATTTATTTTAAACAAAAAAAGTAAGAATAAAACGACAACAACAAAAAAGTGTTGAGAAAAAAAGAGCAGAAGTAAAATAAAGTGACAGTAGGGAGGCTATATATACAGTAAAATAAAGTGACAGTAGGGAGGCTATATATACAGGGGGGTACCGTTGCAGAGTCAATGTGCGGGGGCACCGGCTAGTTGAGGTAGTTGAGGTAATATGTACATGTGGGTAGAGTTAAAGTGACTATGCATAAATACTTAACAGAGTAGCAGCAGCGTAAAAAGGATGGGGTGGGGGGGCAGTGCAAATAGTCCGGGTAGCCATGATTAGCTGTTCAGGAGTCTTATGGCTTGGGGGTAGAAGCTGTTGAGAAGTCTTTTGGACCTAGACTTGGCACTCCGGTACCGCTTGCCGTGCGGTAGCAGAGAGAACAGTCTATGACTAGGGTGGCTGGAGTCTTTGACAATTTTGAGGATTCCCGTAGTGTGGCAGACTACGCGGTGGATTTTTGCACGTTGGCGGCTGAGAGTGCCTGGAACCCAGAAGCCCTGTTCGACGCATTCCTTCACGGATTATCGGAGGTGATTAAAGACGAGCTTGCAAGCCGGGAGCTGCCCCTGGACCTCGACTCCCTCATAGCCTTGACCATCTGGATTGATGGGCGGCTACGGGAACGTAGGAGGGAGAGGGAGTTTGTTCCCTGTCGCCGACTCTCGTCCTCGATTTCCACCTTGCCTCTGAGCAATCCTGGGACATTTTTTATCTACCTGCCCATTAAAGAACCAGGCTCATCAAGTAGGTACTAGTACGCTGGTGAGCTGTACGGGGAGTTTCTGTCACACCCTGGCTAATGGACTCTAGTTATTGAGCCAGAGTGGGTTTGTTCTATGTGGTGTATATCTATGTTGGGGGTTCTAGTTTGTCTGTTTCTATGTTTGCCTGAGTGACTCCCAATCAGAGGCAACGAGTGTCAGCTGTTTGGCTGGTTGTCTCTGATTGGGAGCCATATTTAACTGTCTGTGTTTCACTTTGTGTTTGTGGGTTTTTGTTCCTTGTCGGTCTTTGTCACCGTGGACTTCACGAGTCGTTTATTGTTTTGGTTTTGTGCTTTAATATAATAAAGTATCATGTTCGCTCAACACGCTGCGCAATGGTCTACTTCGCGTCAAGACGATCGTGACAGAAAAACCCACCAACACAGGACCAAGCAGCGTGTCCAGGAACAGGCAGCCTGGACGTGGGAGCAGCGTCGGACGGTCGAGAGGCAACCCCAAAAATCTTTTAGGGGGGGGCACACGGCAGGGGCGACTGGGCAGCAGGAGGCTGCCACAGGGCGATTAGGTGAGGAGGCCACCAGGTTAAGGGGGCTACTGGCGCAGAGGGAGCAGGAGTTAGTGTTGCAGAGGATGGAGCTATTGGAGGCGATTAGGGAAAGGGTGAGAAATGAGGCACGGCGAGAGGAACTCGGTAGACAGCTGAGGGAGCGGAGGGTTATGATGAAACCCAGTCCCGCTCCTCACACCAAGCAAGTGGTGTGCGTCACCAGTCCGGTCCGGCCCGTTCCTGCTTCCCGCACTAAGTGTACGGTGCACGTCGCCAGCCCAGCCCAGCCTGTTCCTGCCCCTCGCACCAAGCCTACGGTGTGCGTCGCCAGACCAGTCCGGCCTGTCCCTGCTCCACGCACCAAGCCTACGGTGTGCGTCGCCAGCCCAGCCCGGCCTGTTCCTGCTCCACGCACCAAGCCTACGGTGTGCGTCGCCAGCCCAGCCCGGCCTGTCCCTGCTCCACGCACCAAGCCTACGGTGTGCGTCGCCAGCCCAGTCCGGCCTGTCCCTGCTCCACGCACCAAGCCTACGGTGTGCGTCGCCAGCCCGGCCTGTCCCTGCTCCACGCACCAAGCCTACGGTGTGCGTCGCCAGCCCTGTCCGGCCTGTCCCTGCTCCACGCACCAAGCCTACGGTGTGCGTCGCCAGCCCAGCCGGCCTGTTCCTGCTCCACGCACCAAGCCTACGGTGTGCGTCGCCAGCCCTGTCCGGCCTGTCCATGCTCCACGCACCAAGCCTACGGTGTGCGTCGCCAGCCCGGCCCGGCCTGTTCCTGCTCCACGCACCAAGCCAGGGGTGCGAGTCGTCAGTCCGGTGAGGCCCGTTCCTGCTACTCGCACCAAGCCAGGGGTGCGAGTCGACAGTCCGGTGAGGCCCGTTCCGGCTCCACGCACCAAGCCAGGGGTGCGCATCGTCAGCCCGGTCCGGCCCGTTGCTGCTCCACGCACCAAGCCAGGGGTGCGAGTCGTCAGTCCGGTGAGGCCCGTTCCGGCTCCACGCACCAAGCCAGGGGTGCGTATCGTCAGCCCGGTCCGGCCCGTTGCTGCTCCACGCACCAGGCCAGGGGTGCGCTTCGTCAGCCAGGTCCGGTCCTTTCCTGCCTCACGCACCAAGCCAGGGGTGCGCGTCGTCTGTCCGGCACAACCCGTGCCTGGGTCACCGGTGCCTAACCAGGTACCGGCCAACGGCTCCACAACGGAGCTGAAGCTAGCCGCTCCTGCTACGTCCAGGTCAGCTCCAGCCAGCGGGACCAGACCGGACCAGGGGCGCTATAGGGGGTTTATTGGAGGGTGGTGGACAAGCCCGGAGCCAGAACCGCCGCCGAGGAGGTATGCCCACCCAGCCCCCCCCTGTTTCGCGTTTTTTTTTTGAGGCGCGGTCGCAGTCCGCGCCTTTAGGGGGGGGTACTGTCACACCCTGGCTAATGGACTCTAGTTATTGAGCCAGAGTGGGTTTGTTCTATGTGGTGTATATCTATGTTGGGGGTTCTAGTTTGTCTGTTTCTATGTTTGCCTGAGTGACTCCCAATCAGAGGCAACGAGTGTCAGCTGTTTGGCTGGTTGTCTCTGATTGGGAGCCATATTTAACTGTCTGTGTTTCACTTTGTGTTTGTGGGTTTTTGTTCCTTGTCAGTTTTTGTCACCGTGGACTTCACGAGTCGTTTATTGTTTTGGTTTTGTGCTTTAATATAATAAAGTATCATGTTCGCTCAACACGCTGCGCATTGGTCTACTTCGCGTCAAGACGATCGTGACAGTTTCCCATCTTCCATTTCTCGTACCCCTCTCCATGCTACCATGTTGTGGGGTGACCGGTCCAAATCTCTCCGGGTGATCATTGACTCTGGGGCCGCCGTGAGCTTTATGGACGCCACCCTGGTGTCGGAGCTGGGAATCCCTACACAACCCCTCTCCATTCCCATGGACGGCAGAGCGTTGGATGGGTGCTCTATTGGCAGAGTCACCCACACTACGTTTCCCATTAACCTGAGAGTGTAGGGTAGTCTATGCAGTTCCTGCCCATTGAATCCCCTCACGCACTCATGGTTTTGGGGTTTTCCTGGCTCCAGAGGCACAATCCTCTGATCGACTGGGCTACTAGTTCTATCCTGGGTTGGAGCCCGTTTTTATGCCTGAAGTCGGCGCTGCCTGCCCCGGGACATCGTCCTGCGGGCTTGGGAAAAGCCCCGGACCTCTCCGCTGTTCCCGCGGAGTACCAGGACCCCCAGGAGGTGTTCAGCAAGGCCCGTGGCCACCTCGCTTCCTCCGCATCGGCCCTAGGACTGCGCCATCAACATTCTCCCGGCCTTCGCTTCGGGGGCGGCTTTATTCCCCATCAGGTCCGGAGACCAAGGCGATGGAGACATATATTGAGGACTCCCTGGCTGCAGGGGTATCAGTCCTTCTGCCTTCCCCACCGGCGCAGGGTTCTTCTTTGTGGAGAAGAAGGACAAAACCCTGCGTCCGTGTATCGACTACCGGGGCCTGAATGACATCACGGTTAAAAACCGTTACCTGCTTCCATTCATTGCCTCAGCTTTCGAGCCTCTCCAGGGGGCTACCATCTTCTCCAAGTTGGACCTCTGGAACGCCTACCATCTGGTATGGATACGGGAAGGGGATGAGTGGAAGACCGCCTTTAACACGGCTAGCGGGCACTGCGAATACCTGGTAATGCCGTTCAGACTGATCAACGCTCCTGCTGTGTTCCAGGCCCTGGTAAACGATGTTCTCCGGGACATGTTGAACTGGTTCTTATTCGTCTACCTTGGGGGGGGGGGGGCTAACTGGATGTTTGTCCCTTACACTGCCCATTCCATGATTCCTCTCGACTGGCCTGCCATCCTGGCTCCCGTCGAACCGTGGCCTTTGTATGACAACATTTATGGTGGCCCATCTTGGTTCCTGATGTCTCCGCGTTCATCGCCGCCTGCACCGTGTGTGCCCAGAATAAGACTCTTCTGCAAGCTCCAGCTGGCCTCCTTCAACCACTTCCTGTCCCTCACCGTCCCTGGTCACATACAGTGGGGAAAAAAAGTATTTAGTCAGCCACCAATTGTGCAAGTTCTCCCACTTAAAAAGATGAGAGAGGCCTGTAATTTTCATCATAGGTACACGTCAACTATGACAGACAAAATGAGAAAGAAAAATCCAGAAAATCACATTGTAGGATTTTTAAATCATGGTGGAAAATAAGTATTTGGTCAATAACAAAAGTTTCTCAATACTTTGTTATATACCCTTTGTTGGCAATGACACAGGTCAAACGTTTTCTGTAAGTCTTCACAAGGTTTTCACACACTGTTGCTGGTATTTTGACCCATTCCTCCATGCAGATCTCCTCTAGAGCAGTGATGTTTTGGGGCTGTCGCTGGGCAACACGGACTTTCAACTCCCTCCAAAGATTTTCTATGGGGTTGAGATCTGGAGACTGGCTAGGCCACTCCAGGACCTTGAAATGCTTCTTACGAAGCCACTCCTTTGTTGCCCGGGCGGTGTGTTTGGGATCATTGTCTTGCTGAAAGACCCAGCCACGTTTCATCTTCAATGCCCTTGCTGATGGAAGGAGGTTTTCACTCAAAATCTCACGATACATGGCCCCATTCATTCTTTCCTTTACACGGATCAGTCGTCCTGGTCCCTTTGCAGAAAAACAGCCCCAAAGCATGATGTTTCCACCCCCATGCTTCACAGTAGGTATGGTGTTCTTTGGATGCAACTCAGCATTCTTTGTCCTCCAAACACGACGAGTTGAGTTTTTACCAAAAAGTTCTATTTTGGTTTCATCTGACCATATGACATTCTCCCAATCCTCTTCTGGATCATCCAAATGCACTCTAGCAAACTTCAGACGGGCCTGGACATGTACTGGCTTAAGGAGGGGGACACGTCTAGCACTGCAGGATTTGAGTCCCTGGCGGCGTAGTGTGTTACTGATGGTAGGCTTTGTTACTTTGGTCCCAGCTCTCTGCAGGTCATTCACTAGGTCCTCCCGTGTGGTTCTGGGATTTTTGCTCACCGTTCTTGTGATCATTTTGACCCCACAGGGTGAGATCTTGCATGGAGCCCCAGATCGAGGGAGATTATCAGTGGTCTTGTATGTCTTCCATTTCCTAATAATTGCTCCCACAGTTGATTTCTTCAAACCAAGCTGCTTACCTATTGCAGATTCAGTCTTCCCAGCCTGGGGCAGGTCTACAATTTTGTTTCTGGTGTCCTTTGACAGCTCTTTGGTCTTGGCCATAGTGGAGTTTGGAGTGTGACTGTTTGAGGTTGTGGACAGGTGTATTTTATACTGATAACACGTTCAAACAGGTGCCATTAATACAGGTAACGAGTGGAGGACCGAGTAGCCTCTTAAAGAAGAAGTTACAGGTCTGTGAGAGCCAGAAATCTTGCTTGTTTGTAGGTGACCAAATACTTATTTTCCACCATAATTTGCAAATAAATTCATAAAAAATCCTACAATGTGATTTTCTGGAATTTTTTTCTCTCAATTTGTCTGTCATAGTTGACGTGTACCTATGATGAAAATTACAGGCCTCTCTCATCTTTTTAAGTGGGAGAACTTGCACAATTGGTGGCTGACTAAATACTTTTTTTCCCCACTGTATATCCCTGGACTTCGTCACTGGTCTCCCCCCGTCTGATGGCAACACTGTTATCCTTACCGTGGTGAACCGGTTTTCCAAAGCTGCCCATTTAATTCCTAGCTACCCTCAGCCAAGGAAACGGCCCAGCTCATGGTACAGCACGTCTTCCGGATCCATGGACTTCCGATGGACATGGTCTCCGACCGGGATCCTCAGTTCTCGTCCCAGTTCTGGAAGGCGTTCTGCACGCTCATTGGGTCGTTGGCCAGCCTGTTCTCCGGGTTCCACCCCCAGTCTAACGGCCATTCTGAGCGAGCCAATTAGGACCTGGAGACGGCTCTTCACTGCCTTGTCTCCGCCAACCTGGAGCCAGTAGCTCGTGTGGGTAGAGTACGCCCGCAACACCCTCCCTTGCTCAGCCACTGGTCTCTCTCCTTTTGAGTGCTCCCTAGGATATTAGCCCCCACTCTTCCCGGACAAAGAGGAAGAGGTCAGCATACCCTCGGCCCAGATGTTCGTCCGCCGCTGTAGCCGTACCTGGAAGAGAGCACGGTCGGCTCTTCTCAAGACCACCTCCAGGTATCAACGACAGGCGGACCGCCATCGGTCCCCGTTATCGTCTCGGGCAGAGGGTATGGCTGTCCACTCGGGATCTGCCCTTCCGGGTAGAGTCCCGCAAACTTTCCCCCCATTTTATCGGCCTTTTCCCCATCTCCAAGATTCTTAGCCCCTCTGCTGTTCATCTTCTGTTTCCCCGAACCCTCCGTATACATCCCACTTTTCATGTGTCTAGGATTAAACCTATGTCTCACAGCCCTTTGTCTCCTGTTTCCAGGAGTCAGTCATGGTGGTCATGTATTCTGCCTCTGTGTACTCTCTGTTTAGGGCCAAATAGCATTCCAGTTTGTTCAGTTTTTTGGTAAATTCTTTCCAATGTGTCAAGTAATTATCTTGTTGTTTTCTCATGATTTGGTTGGGTCTAATTGTGTTGCTGTTGCTGTCCTGGGGCTCTGTGGGGTATGTTTGTGTTTGTGAACAGAGCCCCAGGACCATCTTGCTTAGGGGACTCTTCTCTAGGTTAATCTCTCTGTAGGTGATGGCTTTGTTATGGAAGGTTTGGGAATCGCTTTCTTTTAGGTGGTTGTAGAATTTAACGGCTATTTTCTGGATTCGGATCATTAGCGGGTATCGGCCTAATTCTGCTCTGCATGCATTATTTGGTGTTTCACGTTGTACACAGAGGATGTTTTTGCAGAATTCTGCATGCTGAGTCTCAATTTGGAATTTGTATTTGTGGTCATGGCAACTGGACCTTTTTTGGAACACCATTATTTTTGTCTTACTGAGATTTACTGTCAGGGCCCAGGTCTGACAGAATCTGTGCAGAAGATCTAGGTGTTGCTGTAGGCCCTCCTTGGTTGGATACAGAAGCACCAGATCATCAGCAAACAGTAGACATTTGACTTCAGATTCTAGTAGTGTGAGGCCGGGTGCTGCAGACTGTTCTAGTGCCCTCGCCAATTCGTTGATATATAGGTTGAAGAGGGTGGGGCTCAAGCTGCATCTCTGTCTCACCCCACGGCCCTGTGGAAAGAAATGTGTGTGTTTCTTGCCAATTTTAACTTCACACTTGTTGTTTGTGTACCCTCTCTCTTATCCTCCCTCCCTCTCCCTACCTTTTTCTCTCTCTCACCCTCCCAGGAGAGGCGTTGCACAGACAGTCAGACAGTCCCTCACCCTCCCTTTGTCCTGTCCCCTCCACTGACTGACAGGAAGCATGACGCAACCTTTCTTTTTCCTACAGTAAATGTGACGGAGCTGTAGACAGAGAGTGTGTGTATGTGTGTGTGTCGGACCCTGTGTCGAGAGAGAGAGAGAGAGAGAGAGAGAGAGAGAGCGCGCTGGAAACCATGCTGTGTGAGTAGAGGGTAGCATCTTTTATCTCTGTCAGTTCTCCCTCCCTCCCCTTTCCTCCCTTCTCACCTCCCTCTCGCTTTCTTTTCTCTCTTCACTTGTGTTTTCTCACTAGATGAACCAGCATGGTCTAGAGCAGTTTGGAACAGAGAGAAGTGTGTTTGCATGTGTGTGCTTTTCTGTGAGTATGCACCTGCATATATCCTTTTGCGTGACGTAGATTGTAGCCTGTGTGTCTATGTGCTATGTGTGTGTGTGTGTACCTGCTCTGGATGTGTGTGTTCCTACTGAGAAGAGCTCTGTGTGTGGAGTGGAGTAGAGCACATCGTCAGTCGCTCCATCAGTCAGGATGGTTCAGAGGTTCAGTCTACGCAGACAGTACTCCAAGGTAAGTCTGCTAACAGCTGTAAAGTGTCCCACTGAACTAAACGTAATACATTAAATTGACTTCATTGCGGGGACCCCCATATTAGTCTGGTCATTGGGGACATGTGACAGTATACGTTTAGTACCTGCTATCTGTGAGGTCATGGAAAAGTTGTGTCTCTCACTCGTTCTGAGTCGATATGTTATTTAATCTGTCATGTAAAAGCAAGTGTTCTTCTCTATGATACTTCAAATTAAATCTAGTGGTTATTTCAAGTGTATACTTTCAAAATGCTTGTACATCTGTAGTTGCTGAATGTCTCTCTCTTTTGCCCATCATTTTCAGTTAATCTGTCCAAAGAAAATCTGTCTCATCACTGTGTTGATTCTGTCCGTGTCGTCTGTCTGTCTGTCTGTGTCTCTCTCTCGCTCTCTCTCAAATTCATTATGGTTTAATGGCATGAATGACAAGGTCAATGTTGACAAAGCAAAGTGATACAAATAAAAATGATGAAAGCAACAATGACAGCAATAAGAATAGTAGCTATAATACTAAAGAAAAAGATATACACTGAGTGTACAACACATTACAATACAATTCTACGTGTTTATGTTTCCTCCCTTAGCTTGTGGCAAGCTGTGACATACTGTGCTGCCAACTCTATAACATCAGACCTTTTCCCCAAAAGTATACCAAGTTTCTCTTTGTTGGATTGTTCTGTGAATGTAGAACTTTTCATTTGGAATTTGGAAAATAAGGAATCTCTAATTAATATATATTTGGGGCAGGTGATTAGAAAGTGTTCTTCACTTTCTATCTCTCCTGACCAACAGTGATGACATAGTCTGTCCTTTCTGGCGAACCGTGTTTTTTGATGGTGTCCGGTTTATATTTCCAGGCTATTATAACTCATTCAGTAATTGGTTAAGGTTTTTATTTGTTTGTGGTCTTTTACACGGGTTAATTATTCAGCTAAAGTCAAGTCTCTTTCCAATGTTCGGTAGCATTCAATTTCTCTCTGACCTTCGACCTCACTGCGCCAATAGTTGATGTATGCGTTCGTATTATTCACCAGAACACACACACACACACATTGTCTAAGAACACACACACACACACACACACACATTGTCTAGCAGGATGGCCTGTAGCTGAGGATTCCACATTGATCGAGTGGAGGGTCTGGTCTCTCACTTGAGCTGTTGGGGAGTGAGGGATGGGTAGGGGTAGAGAGATGGAGGGAAGGGGAGGGTTGGGGCAGAGCATTATGGGGAGGTTTGTAAGGAAAAAGGGGTCGCTTTGGGAGGGGGCTGGGAGGGGGTCTCTGTATTATTGAGTGGAGATGCAAAGGCAGTCTTACCTTGAGGGGAGAACCTCCCTCTGACAGCAGTAAGTCCTTTGTGTGTGGTGGGGTAAAGCCTCCTCAGGGCCTTTCTGAAGATGTCTGTTCATCCCTCCCCTCAGAGAGCTACGGGATTATATTATCCTCCCCTCCTCCTTCCAGTCCCTCCTCCGGCTCCTCTTAGGCCACTTCTCCACCTGCTACTCTCTCCTCAACCACACATTTTATTCTACTCTGTTATTCCTCAATGTCTCCGTGAGAACATGCAGTACGATAGACATACATAAATATCTGCAGTTTTGGTATCATGCAATCATATCCAGGAGTAAAAAGCACTTAATATTCAGGAGTAATAAGGTCCAGCTATTTTCACCTACACACACACACACACACACACATTGACACCTGCCCTCTTTCTAAAAGCCTGTAGATGCTGGTTAAATAAACAAGGGCATGTACTCTCTCTGTTTACCTACAATATTATTAGAAAGACAGAACATGATGTCCATAACTACAGGTCTGGTGCTTTGTATTGTTTTGGATGGATGCATCGTCTTTGTCATGCTGGTAGAAAGGGTTGATTGGAACTGGTCATTGAGGGCCTCAGTGTGCACAGGGTTTTGTTCTTGCCTAGCTACAACACACCTGATTCAGCTAAGCAATGTACTATATCGCCACATGCTTGATTAGCTAGAGCTGGTGTGTTAGTGCAGGGCTGGAACAAAAGCCTGCACATGCCACACCCTGGTCTGCAGCTTTGGAGGACCAGTATTACTGCCATTGTTGACCTTTGTGTTTATGACAGGCAAACACACACTCATCAAACAGCAGAGTTTCGATTTGAGTTTCAGCAGACATACACAAGGATGAGGTGTGTGTTTTGCAGTCCATGTGACCTGTGACCAGGACATGATGTAATCCATTGTTGTGTCATTTCAATTAAACTGCAGTGTGTGTGTTATTGCTGTTTCTGCAGACCTCGATAAATTAAGGTCAGGTGAAGGTTGGATAGATAAAAACAAGTGTGCTTGTGCTGTGCATGTGTGTGATGTGGCCACTGTCATCACCCCAGTCTGCATTAGTGGTTGAAAGCTGTTGTTAGTTGATGTAACCTCTCCAACCCACAGTATTTACAGTTAAAGGGATACGTTTAGGCAGAGTTCTGTAGTGGGCTGGCGAAACACTAAGCCACATGGTTTTGTGGTTTGTTGTTTTTGCTGAGCCTAGATTCTTCTCATCAGAGAAATAGTAAGATACACTTTATCCTTATCTGGGTTCATGCCTGCTCTCCTACCTCCCTCTTTACTCTCAGGCATTTTCTTTACTTGTCCTCTTTTCTCTCTCCCCTCTTCTGCCTTCTCTCTTTCATTCTCAAACAAACAGACTTCTATCACTCCCATGTTGGATTAAGAATGTTAACCCTTTACACTCTTGGGAATTGGCCTATATGAATAGGACTAAATTAAATATTTCTTACAGAATAAATATGAAATGCATAAGCATGGTAGCAATTGAAAGGGAACAGTTTGGAGATTATGGGAAAATTATTAGATCAAAGTTCAGGACACAACAGTTCACCTGACACAAGACTGAATCCAAACATTACACTGTTGATTTTATGTGTATTTTCGCCGCATTTGTTGAGAACGAAATCTGAAAATATTATGGATACCTTCAGTAACATGATAAGAATATTCCTGGAAAATGTGGGGTAGGTGCAACATAAGACAACAAAAAGGGTTTGACTGAGAGGACTAAGTGGTGTCTCCAAGTGGCCACACACCTCTCCAACGTGTGCAGTTCCTAAGTAATTTCAATGCACTTTTATGACTCAAAGAAGAGTCTTCAAGGAACTAGAGCAAACACACTTGTAGTTGTTTTGTTTGGAACATAACCCTGTTGTTTTTTACACAATCCAAAAACAGCCCATTTTAAATTGCAATCTGGGTCAAGTGGGCATCAATTGAAAGCTTGTTCTATTGCCAACATGACTAGCTAAGTTATAAAATACGACCTTACAGTGTTAGGCTTTCAAGGCATTTCAGAGAAACAGATCATAATTTTTGTGCGCATAGAAAGGAGTTATTAGTGAATGCAGATGTGTGTTCCGCTGCGAATCTTCTTCACAATAGACACACATTGGCTGATTCTGTTCAGAACAACCCAGGGTATGACGCCACTACTAATGTTTTTCAGCTATATATCTTATAACTATTAGGTTATCTAAGATGTGCCAAATAAATCCTCTCTAGCTGGGTTTTGCTAACTTGCTAATGTTAGCTAAGTGGCTAACATTAGCTTGGTAACAGCTGCAGAGACAATCCCCTTGTGGATTAAGATCCCTGCTGTCTAATATTTGTTTTGTGCATGCTGCAAATTGCATTTTGAGATACTTTGCAGAACTTTATGAGCTGGGTTGGCTGACATTTTGCTAGCATTCTGGTAACTGATGTTTTGGGAGCTTTTTGTTTAGCTTGAAAAAAGAATAGCGTCCCTTGTGTGCACTGCCAGTAATACTGGATATCCCGGGATGGCACAGGCTTAGTATGAAGGTATGGAAATCTGGATACCGCCCAACCCTAATGTGTGTGCATGTGTGTGTGTGTGTGTGTCATCCGCTCTCTGATCTCTGTGTGAGAATGACACTCAGCTGTTTCCTCTTTCCTGTGGTGGAAGTGTAGATGTGCTGGTTCCACAGTCAGTGTTACAGTCCTATCATATCTCCACAGAGCACAACACTGAGCAGTGTATGAAGCAGCAGAGGAAACGTTGTAGTACAGGGTTTCCCAACCACCGGGCCCCGGACTGGTACCGGGCCGCGTAGAGTTTGCTACCGGGCCACTGTGCGCTTTTTCCCTAGCACACGAGATGGGTAATCAATTAACTTGGCGTAGCCCAGTCTGTGAGCCATTACCACATCTCTTACTTCCTGTAGCATCTTTGTGAAAAAACGCACTTCCATAACACATGCTGATTAGATGGACTGGACGCCCATCACGTCTCTGATATTTTGACAGTAGCCACCTACACTTTTCAATGTCAGTGCGAAAGCCAGCGCTAGGTGCTGTTCTCCACCCCCACCCCCCAAACGCACACTACACGGGGCGGCAGGTAGCCTGGCGGGTAGGAGCATTGAGCCAGTAACCGAAAGATTGCTGGATCGAATCCCAGAGCTGACAAGGGAAATATCTGTCGTTCTGCCCCTGAGCAAGGCAGTTAACCCACTGTTCCCTGGGCGCCGATGACGTGGATGTCAATTAAGGCAGCCCCCCACACCTCTCTGATTCAGAGGGTTGGGTTAAATGCGGAAGACACATTTCAGTTGAATGCATTCAGTTGTACAACTAACTAGGTTTCCCTACACACTGCATAGTTATTCATACAGACCTACATCCATTCATTCATTGTCCAATCAAGCCACAGTATTGAGTGTGTGGAATAGGAGATGGGGTGTGTATGATAGAGCCTGAGAGGTAGAGGGTTATCAATAAGGCTCATTATATACAGAAAACCACTGAGGAAGATAAATGAAAGCTACAGATGTAGAATCTAAATTTGATCACTCTTTAATTGCTGAGAATTTTCCTGCTAACCAGAAAGTGTATTTTAGTGTATTTGAGTTTTAAAAAGGCTTCTAAAGTTTGTATCAACCCCTACAAAAATGTCCATTAATTATAATCCACATAATTAACATTTCCTGTTGCTGCAGGATTACTTTCCTGCTGTAGCAAACTGGCTCAAATTAAGATCCTACATCTGTATATGATAACAGATAAATCAATGGAACTAGTCTTCAATGGTGCTTCCTCATTTCACTTCAAAGACCTGCATGATCAGTCCGTGTTTTTTGTCTTCTAATTAATGCCCTTTTGTAACACTATGTTGATGTATGAACTTCAAATGCCCTTGTGTGTATATGAACTCTATATTGTGTTTGTGTGCGTGCATGTGTATGCACGTGCGTGATTGTCTGTCTGTCTGGGTGTGTGTGTGTGCATGCATGTTCTTGTTTTGCTGACCTTCTGGGGACATTGATCCAGAATGTGGTGCCACAACAGGTGTCCCCAGTAGGTAGCATAAACATGTATGGAGACTCGAGAGCCTGTTTGACCCTTTATTCCCTGGTCTATAGGCTTTCTGGGTAGGATGGCTGTGGCTGCACTCTGCCTTTCTCACTGCTCATCTATATATATATATAGGACCAGCTTTCCAGCTCCTGGAGTAGTGTAGGTGAAGTACATCACTCAAGGACACTCCAGTGTTTGTCTGCTGTTGTTTGTGTGCGTGTGTCTTTGTGTGTATGTGGGTGTGTACGTGTGCATGCGCACGTACGTGCGCGTGTGTGGATTCTCAGGGAGTCACTGTGGGTCATCCTTTGTGTGTTTTTCTTTGGGGGGGGGGGTCCACAGCTGTACTTCCTCTTTGGTCACTGAGCATTGCCACATTTCTACTCTCTGTGGAGGATGTGAGGATATGCTGGTCAACCTTCACCCACATGTCTGCTCACTGGCAAATAACACTGCTATATGACAACACTCAGCTGTTATTGGTCCACTCTGTCTCTGTGCCAAATACAATTGACTGTCATTGGTCCATCCGGTCTTTGTGTTAAAGAGAACTTGACTGTCATTGTTCCATTTTACTCTGTCTCTGTGTCAAGGTTGGCTAGACAATATAAAGTCCTCCCTTACTCCATGTTAAAGTTAATTTGACCATGGTTACTTAAATCATACTGTATGTTTGTGAGCATTTTACTGTGATTGGTCCTCCTTCCCTCATAGTCTACTGCAGACTATGATAACATTCTTAGATGGAGAGAAATAGTGTTCTGTCTCTCTCTGCCTTTCCCTGTATATAATTGTGTGTGTGTTTAATGAATAATAGATGACAATATATATCGCTGAGCTCAGCTCTGCAACTTTGCTCCACTAACCCAGTTAATACACAGGAGAGCACTCACACACACACACACAAACACACACAGAAACACACTCTCACACACACCTCCAGTAACCATCGTCTGACCTGTCATGCCCATGCCTTGTTCGCAAGTGGATCCACCAATCTGAATGCAGCCCACCATGTTCTCACACTGTCTCCTCATATCAGAGAGCTTAATTTACTCTCTAAGGCCCCTAGCTCCTTATCCTAGCCCCCTTACCCTTCGGTGTGTGCAGATACTGTATGAACGGACGGAATAGGTGTAAGTAATAATAATGCATTTCTACCATATTGGTGATGGATGGCTGTGGCTGCACTCTGCCTTTCTCACTGCTCATCTATATATATATAGGACCATCTTTCCAGCTCCTGGAGTAGTGTAGGTGAAGTACATCACTCAAGGACACTTCAGTGTTTGTGTTTGTATTTCTTGCAAATACAGCATATGCACTTAGCCCCATCTAGCATGATAGCTATGGTTCAAATTGCCGTTGCGTTCAATCATCCATCCCCATCTTACCATTTGTGTATTTTGCTCTCTTCAGTCTTTCCTCTACCCTCTCCCAGTGAGAATCCACCTCACCAACTCACACGTGTTTTTATGTAATGTCCATACGCAGAGTCTCAATAACGTTGTGTAAAGGGCTTTAAAGTTGAGATATGTGTTACATCGGTCACAGGTGGAACAAGGAAGAGGAATGTTGACAAGAAAATAGCATAGGAAATGGCTACGGTCAGGGGCACCTATTCATTTCTATATCAACCGCCAGAGAATGTGACTGAGCAGTAATCCTGTGTGTTGTTGTTGTTGTTGTCGTCGTTTTTTACTCTGGTCTTGTTGTTTGGGTTAGTCATTAGGAGCATGGCCGCCCCTTGTCCTTCAATCATAAAGCCTCTGTTAATAATCTGCCCAGTGGTTTATGCAACCCCTAATCAGCCCATTGATGGGAGATGAGGGGCTGGGGGGTGCAGGGCTGGGACAAAGGGGCTGAAATGAGCCTGTTCTCAATTGGGACAGTTTGTTTATGGGGCTTTTCTGATTGTTCTCCCTATCCTTCTCTTTCCTAATTGTCCTCTACCCACTCCCTCCCCCACTATCTATATTTATTTGTTTCTCTTCTTCAACCTTTCTTTCCCTCTCCTTTCTTTCCCCCTCTTCTCTCTTGTTCCCTCACCAGTCCTGTATCTGTTCTGTCTGTGGTTTGTTCCTGGGTTCCTCTAGAACTTTCTGGCGTTTTCCATCTTGGCAGCTGCTCAGGACCTGCTTCTGTCTTTGGAATCAGAATGAGTAAGATGATCATTCTAGTTCTGAGGTTGTGTCCCCTGGCTGAGGGCAATCCTCTGGAATTCACACGCCCCAGAGCCTTCTATTCTGGAATCCCAAACCTACTCTGAAATCCAGATCCTTCTATTTAGCCTCTGCTAAATAGTCATGACATTGTAGTGATCTTATGTGACAAAGAGGTTTGGCATCTTATTCCAAATGAATGAAATCCAAATGGATATCTGACCTAAATCAGTCAGATGATTTAATGTTTTGGTCTTTGGTCTATTAAAAGATTACTCTTGCTCAGCTTGTCTTAACCCATGCATTCTTATTCACTGTGTGTATGTGTGTGTGTTTGTGTGTGTGTCCAAATGGGTAAGTGTTGTGGTTGCTGTATAAGTCTCCCACAAGCCCATTAAATGAGACAGGACTAAGGCTTATGGGAACCAGAGGAGGCTGGTGGGAGGAGCTATAGGATGATGGGCTCATTGTAAAGGCTGAAATTGAATAAATGGAACGGTATCGAACACATCAAACATATGGAAACCACGTTTGACTCCGTTCCATTGATTCCATTCCAGCCATTACAATGAGCCCGTCCTCCTACAGCTCATCCCACCAGCCTCCACTGATGGGAACAATGGCTAGCTATAGAATTAGTTTTTGTTTCACCCTGACCTGATAAACACACACAGTAAAATCTGTCAACAAACAGTCCAGTAAACACAGCCATGTCTTTAGGCCAGCTGTGACATACCGTTCCCTATTTGTCAGCAGTATCTGAGTGATTCCTCACGAAACCAGGATAAAAATATTCCATGATTTGGGGGATTTTTACTAGATTTAATCCATAGAATGGTCCTTTGGAGGAAGGATTGTTGAAATATATTTGACATTTGTATCTAAAAGCATAATTGAAAAATAATTAATCAACGTTGGCATATTTCTGACATTTTGGCCTTACCCAGGTGTCCTTTAAGACTCCATAATGTTTCATCTGTATGTTTCTACAAAGCAGATATTGGTGTCATATGAAGCTTTACCGCTTGCTCTGTAGTATGAGTAGTAGTTTGATTTCAAGAACATTAGTTTATGAATATTGAAAAATATAAACATGACGACCGTTAGACGCGATGACGTGTTTCTGCGCATAAGCTTACAGTGCCTTCAGAAAGTATTCAAACCCATTGACTTATTCCACATTTTGTTGTGTTACAGCCTGAATTCAAAATGGAATAAATATATTTCTTTTCTCACCAATCTACGCACAATACCCCATAATGACAAAGTAAAAACTTGTTTTTTGAAAATTTAGCAAATGTATTGAAAATGAAATACAGAAATATCTCATTTACATAAGTATTCACACCCCTGAGTCAATACTTTGTAAAAGCACCTTTGGCGGCAATTAAGAGCTTTGCACACATGGATTGTACAATATTTGCCCATTATTCTTCAAATAATTCTTCAAGCTCTGTCAAGTTCATTGTTTATCATTGCTAGACAGCCATTTTCAAGTAATGCCATAGATTTTCAAGCCGATTTAAGTCAAAACTGTAACTATGCAACGCAGGAACATTCAATGTCATCTTGGTAAGCAGCTCCAGTGTATAATT